ATTACTAAAAACCTTTAAAACTTCTAAAAGTTATTTATCGTAAGACGTATTACTGGCAATCAGAGATAAAATAAATAAAAATGTTCAACTTAAAAAAAAAAATGATGAAAATAAAAATTTAATTATTAATGACTGAAACCTATAAAAAGAATTTATAGGGGTTTGTAAACATTTTTTATTTTGTTTTTTAAATAGTCCAATTTTAATATCAATTGACTACAACTCTTGTAACACTATTTACTAATTTCCTTAATTGTGACAGAATGTAATATTATTCAATAAAAAAAAAACATTTACTACAAACTAATAGTGATTAATGAATAATTAATAGATAACATTAAATAGCTATAAGGAAAACTCACATTAGTGCTGAAATGTAAGTGTTTTTGTGGTGCTTACCTGAAAAATAAAAAAATAAATAAAATGTAATATAATACCATAGAAGTGAAATAAAAGTGAAATTCTTAATGTAATTTAATACTGAAAAGTTATAGAATAGGTATGTGGACTATAAGCTAACATTTATTTTTTAAAAAAACTACGTATAATAGAATATTTTCTAATATATTTTATAAACAGAAAAGTATTAAGGAAAACTGCGACAACACTAGGAAATCCTGAAAATTTGATTGTATTGAGATGACGCAAAAAGCTACGAAATGAAAAGGCAAGATAAATCTTAATTTAAATTTTCTTCAATTATAAAAATATCATCGGTTTAGGGCAAAATTCCCTAAAGTAATATTTTACAATATTCAATCAATAGGTATTTTGATGCACTTTTTCACTTTGAAAACAGGTCATTTTGCTCTTAGTGTAACTATTGTTGATATATATTATATTTGGTGTAATTTTTAAGGCAAAGTAACAGCTTATAAAAAAAAGTAAAAGCTTATAAGGCCGGTTATTAGCTACGGGTATGAAACGTGGATTACGATACAGGAAAGCGAGAGGTTGCTGATAACTGAATAGAAACTCTTTAAGAAAAAGCTGCGAGCTATATGAGGTCTGTAATCGAAAATGATATCGTCTCAAATGGCTAAGACACATAGAGAGAGGATGTAGGAAGATAAGTTAGCAAGAAAACTGCTCTATACGTGTCGGGAAATGGCCCCTGGTCAACGACGTATACGATCTAAGCCATAAGGATATAAGATAGAGAAGAATGGTTGTAGATAAGGAAGCCTGGCGAATTAAAAATATATTTTCAGTCGTACATTGTAGGATGATATATGCGCAAATATTTAAATAATTTTAATGCCATGAAATTTAATTATTTAAAATTTACAAACAACCGATAAAGAAGGAGTAAATGATAACATTAGGACTAACAGGATTAAGATAAAATAAAAAACTTGCCAGTATGATTATTGAAATGAATATCATTGATATTCTACAATGTGTAAACGAGATATTAGCAGTTTCGAAGGAAAACACTGTATTATTCCCTAATCTGTGAAAATCAAAACATGAACTAATTTATATGTAAATGAGAGACCGTTATTCAGTAATTATTGTGAATTTATTCCATTTTAAACTTCCTTCAGAACACAGCTAACTTTTTCTTAGAAAATTGAGAGAATATTTACAAAAAATATAAAATTAATGAATTTCATCACAAACGAAATGTTAGCCAATGATGCAATCCCCTAAACTACTACATTGCTGTGATGTTTATTCCCTTAATACGGATGATAAAACTAAAAGAAACAAGGAAAAACAGAACGTTGAGGAAAGTTCCAGACCGCACTGATGACGGACTTGTTCAACTTGTAATAAAAGACATCTGGTATTTCCTTAACTGTGAAGAAATGGGAAAATAAATATAGCCCCAAGCCATATTAATATGTATGCATATTATCGACATACTTGAAAGATACTATGATTCCTTTTAGAGATAAATGAAAACTAAATTACAAGAACTACATTAGGTCCGAGATGATAATGAATGAAGTTGGAAATCTTTCATAGTTTATTCTATCACATGAAATAAAAATATAACTCAGATCTACTACATCTTAAAAAAATAAACAAAATAAAAACAACATTGTTATCTAAAAATGAAATAGCATAGGCATAATGGAATCCATTTGCTTTGCTATTTGCCCTTGAGATTCTCGAACTAATAAAGGCAACGTCTTGTGGATGAGTTATTGTCCACGAAGTGACTTTGAACACGAAAATAAAAAGAAAAAGAAGAGACCGAACATTCTTCTCCGATGTGAAATATTATCATCAAGCTAATATCATTAAGAGCTCTTTCTGTAATACTGTTCTTCAGAAGTCAATGAATCAGATTTCGACGGTTATAGTTTAGAATAAGACAGCAAGCGAGGATGTCAATATCAACAATAAATAAAACCGATATTTTCCAAATTTATTGGAATAATAATTCCATATATCGAAAACATATATCGATTGTATATTTTTAACGTATACAAAAAAGGAAAGAAAAGGAATATAAATATTGAACAATTAAATCGACAAATACAGCATCGATAGTTATTAAATAAATTGAAATATCAAGAAGTATATCGGTTTTTAATCTTTAACCGGATTAATATTGAAGTTTTTTTTTTTTTTCACTGGTTGTCATTACCATTTTGACAGGTGTGAATAAAAAAAAATAAAATTAAATAATCAGGATCTATTTTTTAAATTACCACATAGGTAATTGTGCTTAAAATATTTTTTTTAAATAAATATGCAAATAGAAATATTAAATGTAAATCTCATCAATTTAAAGCACAATGTTTGTGCCAATATAACAAGAGGACTCGATCATAGATGAACTAAACCATAAAACTGTTAACTGTAGTTAATAAATCTCAACTGTAAATACAATCGCATGCAGCATAAAAATTTAGAAAAAAAATAGTATGAGATTTATAAGATTAAAATGAGTAATTATAAAGTATTTATCGGAGAGAAGAATAATTGGGGTGATCAGTCAAATAAGAAGGCAAAAATAAATGATACTATTTATTTTGACATTAGCCGACGTTTCGACCTGAAGTTCAGGCCATCATCAGGACTAATTACGGAGATGTAAATCTACGCAATGATCTAATGATGTAAATCTACGCAATGGCAATTTACATCTCAGTAATCAGCCCTGATGATGGCCTGAACTTCAGGTCGAAACGTCGGCTAATGTCAAAATAAATAGTATCATTTATTTTTACCTTCTTATTTGACTGATCACCCCAACTATTCTTCTCTCCATTATTCACGACAGTCAACCATTTACCAATTATAAACTATTTATGTAATTGCTCTATGAGAAGTGGTATTATCTTTCAGTTGCAAGGTTTTATCCTCAACAATAAATAAATGCTGCAAAATCTTAATAATAAATTATAGAGATATTATTTTAAAAACATTCATACTACAAAAAAAAATGAACATATCCAAAAGAAAAATTTTAGAAGCAATAAAGATCGCTAAAATATAACATATAATATAAATTTAAGGGCTGATTCAAAGCAATTAAGTCCACATTACGCTCAGATATTATCATTTTTTTTTTTTTTTGACATTAGAGCTATGTAAATCTTTTTGCTGTTTTAACAAGCCTGCCATCTCTGGCTGTCTTGGGCTATTTCTTGCCATTTATCTGCACGCAGCTCTGTTGCATCTTTGTTGATTTATCTATTAATCTGTTTTTTGGTCTTCCAAGTGGTATTTTGCTTTCTATTGAGGCATTCATTGTTACGTTGAGGCTTCAAGTTAATATAAAATCAAGCGATCAAAATATATATTGTATGATTATAAAAAAAAAGTATTACTGACAGAGTAATGCCGCTAATAGTAAAATGTTAATATTTATATTACAAGTTTTTAACTATCATTAATAAAACGAAATATAAATAATTAGATAATTTAATTTTTTTTAATTGTTTTTAAATGATATATGTACATTGGAAAATGTGTTAAATAAAAATATTAGATAAAAGAATATGATAAAGCAAATTAGTCCAAATAAATTTTATTTTTATTTATAAACTAAAATAAGCAAGTAGATAATTGTTTGTAATAACATTTAATTTGAAACTAAAATAAGCCTATGAACTTTATATTTTAAAAGGTTTCTAACCTCGAAAATGGCCAAACGTGACATTGGGTGTAAAGAAAAAATAAAGTAGGAATAAGTAATAAAATAAGTTTGTTTATTACTAGAAATTAACCATTTAAATAATTGGTCTAAGAGAGGTGGTATTACCTTTCAGTTGCAAAGTTTTTTTCCTCAATTATAGAAAATAGATGTTGCATAATCTTAACAATAGTCAATGGAAATATAATTTATGAATACCTATACAATTTAAACTTTAGAGTATCGAATAAATTTATAATTTCTTGTATACATAATGTTCGTGGCAAAACATTAGGATATTCTTTAAGTAAACTTTTCCCTCATTCCACTAGGCGATCCAGGAATTAATTTTAGAAGGGCTTCAGCCCGAAAGCTTCTTTTTTTTTCATATATGTAATGATAATTACTTTGGAAAAAAATAATAAATTAACTATCTATACGAAATAGTGTTTAAGTGATTCTTGAAGTCATATTAAATATATTCACACGAACAATAATACTTTAAGAGATATTTTAAAAATATTTTTTACTGTAAAACATGGTTACATTTTATCATTTTTGGGAGGGCTTCAGCCTGAAAGCTCCTATCTCCCCTCTCCCCCCCCCCTCCCCTCTCTCCTGTAGATCCGCCTGTGTCTCATTCCATGCTTGATTTATACATTACAAATTATTATCTCAGACAAAAAAAAAAAAAAAAAAAACTCAATCAATCAATCTTTACACTATTTATATAATGCTGTTTCTTGCATCGATGGATGACAATGAACAATATACCCAGAACTAGACTCAGCTCAAAACCGTTCAAAATGCGCTGATTCAATTGTTTTTGTTTTATCCAGGAAACTCGACAGTGTTTCTACCAATATTACTAATGTAAACATTCCCCATGATTCAGAGGAAACGCGAAATGATTCAGGCCGACTCTGTCGAACTGAAAGTAGGACAGAACTACCTAGAAGGTATTCCGAAAACGAAGGTTCCTGACCCTTCGGAAGCCATGATCACGAAGACCTTCGTGAGAGCGGAGGGCGAAAGCCAGCTTTCTAATAAGGTATGTCGCCAAATAGTGAATTTGTACACGGCTAGCTGTCCCGGGAAAGTGGTTACACACGATGACGTCCAGCTGCGGTGGATTGGTAGTCATTAACTGTCATTAGGGAGTTACGCAAGTAATACAAGTGAAAACCACAACATAACCACAGATGTAACTATTCTCTTTGACGTAGTTGTACACCGAAATTAAATCTTCATGAATAGGAAATCTCTTTATAGTCGGATCAAGAAGGCGTTAGAATAAACCGTGCGAGCATAGTGAGTATAGGATAGGTAATATGTCTCCAGTTTGCCGAAATCGTAGGTAGCAGCAACTGTAAATTTGTTGAAAAAACTATTCGAAAAAAAAGTCAGCGAAAAGATATATGAGCCGTTGAATACAAAAGCGGTATAAGTATATGATTTACAGCTCCTTTAAATTCTACGGCTCATAACGATTAAACAAATTTAGAAATATATATATTTTAAGATTATAATTTCGTGATACATAGACAAAAATTGGTTTAGACTTAGAACAAATCACAGATTATGCAAAGTATACCTTCAGTGAATTGGAATAAAAAATTTTGCAAAATGCGATAAATGAAACCAAAAAGAAACCCTCCAGCATATAATTTTAGAATGTCTTCCTTATAAAATTCAAAGAAAAAAATCTAAATTTTCTAAACCCTTATAATAATGACGATATATATAAGCAATTTGTTAACATCTAACAATACTGAGGAAATAATCAATGTTACGCAGTACTTGTTTTCAAAAAAATGAATATATTTAAATTGAAAAGAATAAAGAATAGGAATAAAACTACATGCTTTTATAAAGCGCTATTGGGGGAAAATTCCAATGACAAAAAAATATATTACTAATTTAATTAGAATACTCATCGATTCATAAACAATTATCAAAATTGAAACTCATTTTACAACTTAATGAGATTGATGTTCCTTGATAGTGTTATCCATGAATAATATCTTATTTATCGAAGGTGCTTTTATTTTTTTCAGATATAAGAATTAGTGGAATAAATATTTAATGGATTTAATAATAATAAAATCTAATTAAAAATGTTTGCCTGCATATCTCTTTCCACTTAACACCACTATAACCTAAAATTTCAGGTCACATCCAACAATATGCTACATCTTAAATTGTGAAAACACGTTGATTACTATTATTTTTCATAGTATTCCAACTAACAAAAAAAAAAAAAGAAAAAGGATCTATCCCTTTATAATACTATAATTTGTGTTATCAATTGACTATTCTCTTTAATTATAAATTATTGGTTTCTTATTTTTAAATGTTAATCTACCAATAAAATTTTAATTTTAAACTATCATTCACACTATGTTGAATTAGTAAAAAAATAAATGAAACTTTAGCATTACATTCAACCTTGAAAACAGATACAGATATTACACTGTCAGCCATTTCATGCCCTATCTCTTCGACAAAGAAAACAAAGATCATTAAAAGTATAAATTAAAAATTAATTTTATAATTTCAAATGCAATAAAAACGAAGTTTTAGTACAATTAAATAATGAAATAAAAAAGAAATAAGATAAGAAAAAAAAGGAAGTTTTATTTTGGAAAGGACCAAAAACTTCATTCTTCTTTTGAAAAGATATATTGGGACCAGCAATCGTTGAGAAAAACTGACGAAAAATTCTCACCATATAAGCAGGTTGGATACTTCTTTAATACCGTAAGATGGGTTAACTTTGGGACTGGATGGATAACTTTGGGACAACAGGTAAAATTTAGTTTGTGGTGATTCCTTGTTGGAAATACTGTGTTGGTTCAGTCTGCAAAAACGTGCTTTGTGTGGGCATGTACAGCGCTACTGCCTTGCGGCAATTTGAGAACCATAGTTCACTACACTCGTTGTGCAGTTAGGTTTTATATATTTTCATTGCTTTTTTCAAAATCCTTATTGTCATGAAACTTTCGCTTGTGCCTCAAGAGTAGTGTGTCGCAAGGTAGTAGCGCAGTACTAGCCTAAACAAAGCACGTTTCTGCTGACTGAACCAACACAGTGTTTCCACCACGGAATCACCACTAACTAAATTTTACCCACTGTCCCAAAGTTACCCACCTAGTCCTAAAGTTACTGTATCTTATGGTACTTTTTATTTCAAAATAAAAGTTGAAAAAATACAATAAATAATATATCTTAGATTCTTCTCAAAGAATCCAAGCAACACTTAACATAACCTTGTAAAATACATGGCTAACGCTTAGGAGCAACGCAACGAAAGATTCGTTTCTAAATCACCATTAGCTGCACCCGATTGCTGATCTGTGTTATACAATTGCTTTGTCCAAATATTACAGAGCTAAACGCTTTATATATCCATTGCGAATCTAATGGCTACCGTTGTAAGATCTTAATGTTCTAAAGAATTACCTTATATAATCGATTATCTCTATTGTGTATTCCGTAACCCATACAGCTCCATCATCCGACAACCACAGAGAGAGAAATTTCGAGTGATGTATTAATACAATAAAAAATAATGTTTTCCTAGCGTACGTACTTCAGGGCCTTGTCCTTGTTGTTATAAATAATCAAATAAGAGAACAGGAAATGGTTTTCTTCATTACGGTATTCAAACTTCTACTGGTAATTTAGAAAAATAATTGGGTAATTACCTGAATGTGTAATTTTTACCAATCGATAAAGATTAGGTTATAATAATAAAAACCTTAAAAATCAAGAATTTAAATAAGTAGGGTTAATGAAAATTGGTAGGGACGGACTTACGTCACGGGAGTGGAAACACCGCTACGTCATATCTGCCAACGACTAGTTCATAATTTTTTCGTTATCTTATAATTTTAGAATAGTTTTTCCTGCTCCAAAACTTGCACCGAAGACATATCTTTCCGTTTCTTCTTCCACTCTCTCGGTTTTTAATACAAATATTTAATTTTAACTTTTATAAAGGCATTTTTATAAATTAGAGCAGAAAAAAGTTTAAGAGTATTGTGTTTGGTAGTTGTATACGTCACGCAAGCCCCCAGTTCCCACCATATCTCCGAGACGTAGTATTATTTTATGTTTTTAACTAAACACAAACCTTTTTTAATTAATTAAATAGCTTAATATAGATCATATAAACATTCTACATCACCTGAATTCTATAACAGCTCAAATTTATGTGATTTTTTTTCATGCAATATCCAATAAAAAGTAACAATTGAAAATATTATTTATTATTGTTTGATATTACATTACAATTTTCTCATTTAAGCTATAATTTCAATAATCTTTATACCTTAATTATTATAAGGAGACGGGTCGTTTTATAAAATTTATATCGATGGCCAACTTCACAGATATTTTAAGAAACAATTAAAAAAAAAATATTGAAAACTATTAGAAAATGGTAGTCCAGATATGCGCAAATCTTTTAAGTGAACATAAAATAAGTAAAAACAAGAATCCAAAAGAATTAATAAACAAGGAAACACAAGATGCAGTAAAATAATAAAAGTTTATTTACTTCAAACTTTAAAATTTGAACTTAAATCTGTGAGGTTGTCCTTGGATATAGATTATAGATGCGTTGAGTGATATATATATATATATATATATATATATATATATATATATATATATATATATATATATATATATATATCTTAAAGATAAAAATATTTCGAAAATTAAAAATGATCAAAACTGTGTGACGATTTGAAAAATAGCATATTACTGACACAGTAAGCTCCTCCATATTAGTTCAGACGTAAAAATAACAAGGTAGTTTAATTTAAAAGTCATTATTCTTCAAACAATTGGACAGCTATTAATTGATTAGGACCTATCACTAAATTCTTTCTAAAGCGTTTACGTTACGACATTTTAAGACCTATAGGCCCTTTGCTATCTATTACCTTACCACTTAATCTACCACTATCAAAAAATATTAAGACATACCGACTGTGATTATGAATTTTTTTTTAAGTGTGATGAGAAATCAAAAAATAATTTGTTTCTCATTAATTTATTCAGTTTTTTTTTAGTTGTATCATTTTGGATTACCGACAAATTATTTTCAAATAATATTTTTTTTAAAGCGATTTAGTTAAACGAATAAAATTATTATTTGTAGGCTAATGTATTCATAAAATGCCTCACCGGACCAGGATTCCTTTTAGGAATGAAAGGCTTCTGGATTTCTCTGCGTAGGTTTAAGAATGTTGGTAATATTTTAGACTGCGGCGGGGATGCCGAATTCAAACCGCCCACTACGATAATATTTCCTGAATGAGCACTTGGGGTCAGTAAACTGTCGCTAAAGAGAAGGTCGTTGAGGCTGTGGTACCTAGCCTGTCCCCAGGTGAGTCATCCAGGTAGTCATTGAGTCATCAGGGGATAGGTCAGGTGTCGCCGATGACAGCTACTGTCACACCTGGCTTTTCTAGGATTTTCAATGACCCATTTCTAATAGATTATTTTAAATCATTTATCCATAGAGTTACTCCTCGTTTGTTTTGAATTTATTCAAAGTTGATAAAAAAAAAATGTGGTGTGTCCACTCACACGACTTTTCTACCTATTTCAGAAAAGTTTTTGTATCTTTACATATGTCCATCAAGAAAAAACCAAAATTAATTAGATTTATTTTCCAGAAAATTGATCAAAGAAAATATTTGAGTACAATTTATTTGATAAACTAAAGGAATGTAAACCGGCTTAAGGTGGATCAGTGTAAACATTTCAATACCATCAAATATTGCTGATCAAAAACTTTTTGCCATAGTCTAATTTTGTCAAACAATAATTTCTGTTTAAAGCGGAGGAAATAGTGAAGGTTATATGATGCGGACAACAGATTTTCTTACTTTGACTTAGTTATCTTTTTTCTCTCATTCACCCCATTCTGGCACCAGGATATGACCCCGTAATATTACATTGGAAATTGAATAACTGTAATTTCGTAAATAGTTGTCCGAAATGAACGATTTTTATATAGTTTTGTAGAGAATTTCATCACCTTTCGAGAAAAAAAAAACAGATGGTTAACGGTATTTCACTATAACGGTGTTCCCGAGAAAATCTTGGAACAGACAGACAGACCAATGGCTA